AATTCTTGGCAATGGATACTTGTTTTTTATGGTGACTTGATTCAACCATCTATAGTCAATGTACAATCTAGGTGAGCCATCTTTTTTCTTTACAAAAGGGACTACAGCACCCCAAGGAGAAGTACTAAGTTTGATAAACCCTTTATCAAGAAGCTCTTGTAACAACTTCTTTAACTTAATTAATTCTGCTAGACCTATCCTATAAGATTGTTGTTATATTGGTGAAGCATCAAGCACAAGGTTTATGCTAAATTCAATCTCCTTATTTGGAGGTAAACTAAGCAACTCCTTAAGGAAGGTCTTCCACTACTTGAATTCCTTCCATAGACGCTAGCTTACCTTTAGACTGAAAAACATATTCTAGATATCCATAATATTCAAGCTACAACATTTTATTAGCTTGCATGCAAGAAACAAGTAATGGAAAAGATCCAACTTTGTCTCCCTTAAACCAAATCACTAGCTGGTTAGGAGTAGAAAAGATAACCACCTTCTCATAACAATCAACCATGGCACAATTTGTAGACAACCAATCCATAACAAGTATGACATCAAATTCCACTATACCTAACAAAATCAGATTAGCAAGCAAGACTACCTTTAGCATGACTTTATAGGATCTATATATGATTCTTGATATTAAAACTTCCTTAGAAGGAGTTTCACCACAAGCACAGAATCAAAGGTCTCAAGGTTAACATGAAAAAATGGAACATACTTAAGTGACACAAATGAGTGACTAGATCTAAAGTCAATCAACACATAAGCATTCCCATATAAGATAGGTATTTTACCTTTTATAACTGTAGGAGTGTTCTGAGTTTGTTGTTTTGTGATAGCAAAAACTCTTCCTCGAACCCATGGCCTTTTATTATCTTGTTCCTCTAACTACTAATTTACTACCTTGAGAGCTGAGCAATCCTAAAGCAAGTGACTAGACTTCCTACGTTTAAAATATGCTCGAGTCTTATTATTTAAATAACAACTTAGCATGTTACAGAATAGTTTATAGACAATCAAATATGTCAAAGAAAAGCCATTGACAATTAATTCAAATTCTTATCATAAAGCTATATGCTCACAAATTGAATGTCACAATCAAAATGCACATAACAAAAATCACACAATGCTATGGAGTCCATTGATGTGTGCTAGCAACACTTGTACTAGAGTTAGTCACAACACTTACCCTATTGCGCAAAGATGCACTAATTACTCTAGAAGGTCCACTAAATACCCTAAAGTTTAAGTTTAGGTCCACTTACTCCATAGCCACAAACAAATACACATGTCAAACATATTCAAAACACATCCAAAATAATATAGGAATATAATTTCATTTATTAATTCACTTAAATTTCCACACAATTCACATTGCTTAACCTCATGATTAAAACACACAAAATATAGCACTTAATCATCCACTTAAGGAAATGCATTTGTAAAGCAATTAACATTAATTACCTAATGCCAATTCATAGGTTTCATCCACAAAAATTGGGAATTGTTTTCTTATTTTAACAATGCAATTAATACATGAACAATCAACAAAAACTCTAAGTGCTCAAGCCATGGACAACATTGAAAATTCCAATTAAATATGTATAAATTTTGTTTTATTATGCAAGTCCCCAAAAATCTTCACACAAAATATGTAGGGTAATACAAAACAACAACAAATTATTTAACAATAAAATTCATACAAAATTCAAGTATAGAAATAAAACCCACTTTTAGGTTCAAGATCCATGCATGTACCCAAAAATTAATATATTTCTAACCAAATTCTAATACGCAAAAAGTCTCTTATATAAAGGATTTAGGTTAAATTTCACCAACACAAACTAATTCTTGGTATATTATATTAAATCTATAAACTATTCAAAACTCTAACCTAAATCCATAGTTAAAAATCATACTTAACTAAGAAAATTATAACACCAAGTTGAAACAAATAGCAAAAATTGAAAGAAAATTCAATTGAATAGTGCATCCCATAACCACTAGCACAATTTTCCTCGCACCTGGCTTGAAAAAGAAAGATGTAGAGGAATGGCTTTTTGGAGAATTCCTACAAACTTTTTATCTCCAAGCATAATAATTTGCTTAGTAAATATAGTGCCACTTGGCACAAAATTGGGATAATGGAGTTGAATAGCCTTCAACTTCTTCTAAATTCCACTTACAACCCCTAAACTCTAAATCTAATCAATTTAGTACCTAAAACTTTAAAATAAAGTCCTCTAATCTATAATTTATTTAGTAAAGTATATGGAGTATTACACATAGTATGCATCATGCTTGATTGAGATTTAAGGGACAAAGGGATTGAAATACATATGTACATTGGTCATAAGAAGGTTTGTTGAAGTTATTGACATTTCTATCGCTTTGGATGGCCATAATGTGTTGGTAGATACTACTTTTAATTTATGAATGTTTCTCACTACTATTGCAACGATTAAAGGGTCACACATTTACTGTATTATGTGGATTAGGACTTCTATAAATTCCAATTTATGGATATGGATTAATTTATATGAAAATATTATTTTCATAGGAGAAATAAATTAATCAAGTTCTAGAAATTTAATTGATGGAGAAATTAATTTAATTGAAAATTCAAGTTTACTTTTATTTGAAGGTAAGGAGGAAAAAACTCCTAAAGTGGCATCTAAGTCCTTGAAGGACAACATGGTCAAACTCTAGCCAATAGGCTAAGGCTTATGTGGCACATGGGCAAGGAAGAGCTTTTGGTTGAATCCCTAGTGTAAGAGGCACTAAGGTGTGCGGTAAGAAGGGAAGAAAAAGGATAGGGAGAAAACTCTTCTTCTTCTTCTTCCTTGTTTTCTACTTTGATTAGAAGATTAAGTTTGGAATTTTTAATTAGACTAGAATAAAAAGTATTCCCTTTCCCTTTAATATAAATAGGTGTAAGAAACATAATATTCTTGATTTTCATTGTAGAATTCAAGCTATTAAAGATATTCTTTACCAAAAGAAGAAAGAGGCTCAACTAAGTTTTCGATTGCTAATACCTTTGGAGATCTGGTCTTTTTCAAATTCCCAAGTTCATTTGTAAATTGCTGCTATAGTAGTTCTATGCTTGGACTCTTGGAAGCTTCATCGAAGAATGGTTGTTAGAGTTATGCACCAACGAGGCATATGTCCTTGATGTACTAACCATGAACCTTCCTTAATTGTTAATGGATTGAAAGAGGAAAATTTTTAGTTTTTACTCTTTTGCACACTCTTAAATTCAACATTATTAACATCCACACTAACACTGACATGGAATTCTGTTGATGAAACTAATGGAATTGTAACAAATAGATGATTTTGGTTAGTTTTTTCTTGAAGTTTTAAGACCATTTTGGGCAAATCTAAACTTTCTAAATGAAAGTAATAAAAGATTAATAGTTAATACACCAATTGTTAATTTAGGCCTTACTTTGCAGTTGAATTTTATGGTTAACTAATTGGTACAATGGTTAAAATCCAAAATCCAATATATAATAGTAGCAGGTGGTAGGTGGTGGATAATGGGTGGTGGATAATGGGTCATGGATAAGATATTGATTGATATAATGATTTGGTTAGATAATGATTTGTTGTTGTTGTTTGATGATAAGTTAATATAAAAATTAAAATGTAATAATTAATTAATGTTTTTAAAGAGAAAAAAGTGAAGTTGAAACCTGTTGGAGAATTATTATAAAATAACATGAAAGTAGATAAAATAAGAATTAGAGAAAGTGAAAGTGCAAAACCAACAAAAGGAAAAAGAACTTGTAACTTCTACTCTTATTTTACATAAAATGTAGCTATTTATACATAATAGATTGTAACTCCAAAATTGAATTCCATTATCTAATAATATACAAAATTTCCCTTGGAAATGTTGGAGGCAAACTAATAAATAAATCTCAATATATCATTAGCCATGGGAGATACTTGTTGTCTATTAGAGAACGAATGTCTAAAATGTAATTTCAATGTCAATCATTTGTTAGTCATCTTCTGATGAGAGGAAATGTGATAGTTAAATGATTGCTTTTGATAGCAGATAAAAATGTTTAACCACCAACTTTCATAACAAATCATATATTTTGATAAAAGATGACTTTTTTCATTTATTTTTAATAATTTTAATTTAACTTTTTGACTTTTTAAATATAAATTTCATATGAGAATTTAACATATTATATAAATAATAATTTTAAAAAAATTAATTAAATAAAAAAACTCAACAAAAACTTTATACAGATAAAAAAACTTTTCAATTATTATTCATATAAGTTTTCAAATTTTCATTTGAAATTTATGTCTCAAAAATCAAAAAATTAAATTAGGACTATTAAAAATAAACAATAGGAGTAAGTAATTAAGATGGGTAAATTTGTCCACAATGGAAAAAATTCCAATGAGAAAAAGCTACTTAAGGAAATTTTTTCAATCCACACAATAATCTTGGGTCTAAACCCCTATTTAAATTTTATCAAACACATAACTTGTAGGGATTTAAGAAATAAAATAATTTACTAAACTAAATTAGATAGTAATTTGAGCCAAAGAATAGAAAAAATCAAAATATTTTGATATTAAAAATGTTAAGATATCTAATTATAATTATTAAAGACATAGAATATAATGTAAATTTTAAATTTATTAAATTTATTATGTGACTATTATTAAATGACTTAATATTTTAAAATCAAAACATACTAATTTTCAAATCAACTCTTGGACCAAGTGATTTGTACCAAATCTTAGTATTAGACTTCAATTAATTAAAAATTTTACTCCAATCAATTACTTAAAAATTACCCCTTCCTCCAAATTCCTCATGCTTAAAAAAAAAAAAAAAAAACACTAATTTTCTGTTTTATATGAACAAAACTATCAACCAAACCAATAACCCAAAAAACCAATGCCAAAAGGGCCTTTTAATTGAAGAGCCGATTGTAATGTTCATAGAGTTTGGGGTGGGTACGGGTAAGAAAGTCAAAGCGTTAAATGGGTGGGGGTTGGGATATGATAAACGTCGCCGGTACCTTACCCTTTTTCGCCGGATTTCAAATGGAGTAGCGGTCTGTCTTGGCTGAGGGTTGAAGTCGGAGCACCTATCTTTTTGGCTGGGACGAAAAGTATCTACATCCACCCTCACAGACACCACCTACTTTTTACTCTGTTAGAGTTGAAATAAAACGAAGGAAGAGGAAAGGTTTTTTTTTTTTTTTTTCATTTTCTTTTTCCAGTTTTGATTTGTTTTTCAGACAATCGACTTTTCTTCTGTTTCAACGATTTTTGGGGATTTTTCATTATGACATTAAATGACAGGGATATTCGATTTTGTATTTGGTTTATTTGTTTGTCACTTTTCTGGGCAAACAAGCAAATATGAAATCCCAGTTGATGATATGCACTTTGTGATTGTTGTGATTGATATTTTTCTTGCATGACTGTGGAACGCTAGGCTGGTTCATGTTTTCCACTTTTTTTCTGGCAATTACGTGAGATAACATATCTTGGAAGAGTATGCTTGATAGATTTAGCTGTTATTTTCTTTTTAAACTATAGCAATTCTATTTTACTTTAATTGTCCATTGCTGAGAAGAATTTAACAACCGCAAAACTAAGTTTATTTACAACTAATAAGTAGTAGTGGTATACCATGTTAATTTAGGTTGAGGTTTGTTACAGCTTTATGTTCGAGTTGAACTTCCTTAGTTAGCACTGTATCAGAGTTTAGAGTTTTGTTGTTTTTAATCTCTTTGTTGTTCCTTTAACCCGTTTTTTACATGATAGGCAGTAAATTTATTGGGTTTAGGTTCCTCTATTGCCTCTCGGTATAGGCTAATTTTAGGTTAAATGCCTTAATGGTACAAGCACCTTTTTTCTCATGCTTGGTTCATTGACCAAACAAGCCTTAAAAATCAGGTAGCTTGCCTGTTTATAAAGACTGATAAACCAGTGTGAATGGCCTTTAGTAGAGAGATTTTCTAGCAGCTCTTTCCACTTGCAGCCCTAATGCTTTTTACTTAGTTTTGGGGTTTGTAATGGCTTATCTTTTGTGCTCATGTTCCTGTAACAATTGAAGTTCTCTTTTGGTTTCTGCAGTAAAATGTGCTTTCTTTCCTTATTTCTCTGTACAAGGGATTAGTGATCCAACAGGAATCCATCCAATGAAACTGCACTGCCAGAAACAGGGCCAAGCAACACCAATTGTATCCTGAATGAAACAAAGGTTTGGAAGGTTCTAGGTGACCCTCAAAGGCATGAAGTTCAACTGCTGAATGAGTACAATTGACCTCAAGCCAGTAGGCAATCTTATTGATGTCCCTTAAAATGTGACTCTATCAGCAAGACCAGTCCTTCACTATTAGCTATTGCAGTGCAAGTACCAGCCTCCTTTTAGGATCATAAGAGGCAGGTAGTTTTTGCAACTTTTGGCAGAAGTTTACAATTCTGAATCATGATTTCCTCATAGCCCTTCTCTGATGCAGGTTTAGAAAATTTGGTATTTGTATCATGCTTAGGTGAACATGCATCCTGCTTCCTTTGTCATTATTATTTTTAACATGGATAGCATTTTCTAATATAGAGAGACAAGTGATATGCATTTATGTATTTATTTATACTCTGCAAACCCTTTTTTTTTCTTTTTTTTTTGTTGTATGGTCAACACAATGTCTTTTATTGACCCTTAGCAGGTTACAAGTAAAAGAATGATGTCTGAAGAGGCTAACCAGATGCTGGTGGTTTATGATGATCCTTCAGATCAGAGATCTTTGTCCTTGGATGAAAACAGTAGCACAGAGGAATCAGCAGAAGAAACTAGACTTTCCCTAGAAACAAGTAATGATACAGTTCCATATATTGGGCAGAGATTTCCTACTCATGATGCAGCATATGAATTCTATAGTGAATTTGCAAAAAAATGTGGCTTTTCAATCCGCCGCCATCGAACAGAAGGAAAAGATGGGGTTGGCAAAGGCCTAACGAGACGTTATTTTGTTTGTCACCGAGCTGGAAACACACCAGTGAAAACCTCAAATGAAAGTAAACCGCAAAGAAATAGAAAATCTTCTCGGTGTGGATGTCAAGCATACATGCGAATAAGCAAAGTCACTGAATTAGGAGCAGCAGAATGGCGTGTCACAGGTTTTGTAAACCACCACAATCATGAACTTTTAGAGCCAAATCAAGTTAGGTTCCTTCCTGCATACCGAACCATATCTGATACAGACAAGAGCCGAATCATTATGTTTGCCAAAACAGGAATTTCTGTGCAGCAAATGATGAGGCTCATGGAACTTGAGAAGTGTGTTGAGCCAGGATATCTTCCATTCACTGAGAAGGATGTGAGGAATTTGCTTCAGTCTTTCAGGAAACTGGATCAAGAAGATGAAAGCATAGATTTATTAAGGATGTGCAGGAACATTAAGGAGAAAGATCCAGACTTCAAATTTGAGTGTACAATTGATTCCAACAACAGGTTAGAGAACATTGCCTGGTCATATGCATCATCGGTCCAGTCGTATGAGATCTTTGGTGATGCAGTGGTATTTGACACAACTCACCGTCTGACTGCATTTGACATGCCCCTTGGTATATGGGTTGGAATGAATAATTATGGTATGCCTTGCTTTTTTGGCTGTGTGCTTTTGCGAGAAGAAAATTTGAGGTCGTTGTCCTGGGCATTAAAGGTAATACTGCCAAAACATAGAGGTTTCTTTGTATTAACATCTTATTCTTTTGCATATTGAATATGTGCGTATGTGTATTGGCATTTAGCCATAATGCAAAATATACTAGGGAATGATTAATGTTGCAGAGTGAAGATTGGGACTATATGAGATTATTCTATTTTTGGTCTCATTTTCTGATTCGTTATTATTCAACCAGAGAATGCTAGGATGAGGCTAAGTAGTCACTGTGCATATACCTGCCTGATTTGACATTGAAAACTTTTGTCAAATAAGAGATTTCTGAACAATGCAGATAGGATAGAGAAGTTTTATATAGTAAAGATGGATTTTAAATATATATTTTGCTTCTAAAGTTGCCACAGTTTTACCTTTATCCTCATTTCTTGGGATTGCTAAGCTAGGACTTTGTTTTTTATTGTCTATGTGAAGGTGTTCTTAGGCTTTATGAATGGGAAGGCACCACAGACAATATTAACTGACCAAAATATGTATCTTAAAGATGCAATAGCCATGGAAATGCCAACGACTAAACATGCTCTTTGCATATGGATGATTGTTGCAAAATTTCCATCTTGGTTTAATGCTGTTTTGGGGGAACGTTACAATGAGTGGAAGACTGAGTTCTATCGACTCTATAATCTGGAGTCAATTGATGATTTTGAACTAGGGTGGACAGATATGGTCAGCACTTTTGGGCTGCATACTAACAGGCATATTGCTAATTTGTTTGCATTACGATCATTGTGGGCTTTGCCATACTTGAGAAGCCATTTCTTTGCGGGAATGATTACAACTGGCCACTCAAAGGCAATTAATGCTTTCATTCAAAGGTTTCTAAGTGCACAGACTCGGCTTGCACACTTTGTGGAACAAGTATGTCTCTCTCTCTCTCTCTCTCTCTCTCTCTCTTTGTGTGTGTGTATTTGAGAGCTATTTTCATTTAATTTCACAATGTATTGTTGAATATCTTTACCTTTGATTTCTGAAACAAGTTTCTTAGAGGCTCAACCATCCCTTTTTAGTTGCTCAACTGGAAGGTTTTTTATTTATTTTTTATTGGCAAATCAAGGCCATGAGTTAACTGTATGAGGAGTTTAACCTTATAAGGTTTCATAATATTATATACATGAACGGTGTGAAATTGGAATATTTGAAGCATTCATACACCACCATTTTTTCCTATCTTGGGATATATACAAAAATGAGGATGCTCTGTTTTTTTTTTTTTTTTTTTTCAATAAAGTCTTATTATAGGGAGTACAAGAGGTACTGCAACCCAATCAATGATACAGTTCACAACCAAAACCAAACCCAAAAACAATATGGTCCATGTCCTTTATTCAATTACAAATAAAATATTAGCTGAACAAAAAGCACAAAAGAACAAACCATTTTATGCACCAGCAAATGGTATAATTATGCCTGTGCAACTCCCGCAACACACTTTCTTATTTAGGATGCTCTTTTGCTTCTCGATAACCAAGAAACAAGAAATATACTTCCAAACATACTTAGGGCTTGGAATTTACATGATTATTTGCTTTTTTTGGTATTGTAACAAGAAATATGATTTCTAATTGCATAGGGCTTACAATCATAGTTGACTATGATTGCATTCTAAGATGTGGAATGTTTAAGCCTAGACTTAGTGGATGGAGTGTGGAAAGGTTGCTTTACATCTTAACCTATGTCCAAATCCAAAGGTGGTTGGATTCATATTTCCTCTTTTGCTACCCTTTCTTTTTCAGTTAAAGGGAAGGGATTAAATCTATCGTATTTGTTAACTGGAGTATCGGTTCTAATCTTAAGGTCAAAACATTATCCTCCTCAACCATGGGAAAAGGAAACTTATTCCTGTCTTTCTCATTTTGTAAATTATACCCTTTACTACCTGTTATACCATCGCCACTGAAGGAGTTTGGTTTCTGTTAGGAGCTGCCATTTACTCAAATGTTTTTGGCGTTTCTTTAGATGTATATACCAATTTGTGCACATACTGATTCCTGAATATAAAATATGGTATGAAAATTGCCGGTAGTTTTAAATAATTGTCAGTCTGATCTTTTACATTGTCATCTTTTATTGGATAGAATGATCTTGAGAGTCTTTTTTAGCCGTTAATGATTTAGCTTTATGCAAGCAGGTGGCTGTTGCTGTAGATTTTAAAGATCAAGCTGCAGAACAACAGACAATGCAGCAGAATCTTCAAAACATTTCCCTGAAGACTGGGGCCCCAATGGAATCACATGCTGCCTCTGTCCTCACACCATTTGCCTTCTCTAGGCTACAAGAACAACTTGTTTTGGCCGCACACTATGCATCCTTTCAGATGGAAGATGGCTTTCTTGTGAGACATCACACAAAACTTGAGGGAGGTCGTAAAGTGTATTGGGCTCCTCGGGAAGGCGTCATAAGTTGTAGCTGCCATCAGTTTGAATTTTCTGGTATTCTCTGTCGGCATGCCCTTCGAGTTCTCTCAACAGCAAATTGCTTTCAGATCCCAGACAGATATCTTCCTCTTCGCTGGCGACGGATCAGCACATCTCCTGCAAAACTTTTACAGAGTTCTCCAAGTGATCTTTCTGGAAGAATTCAGTTGTTGCAAGGCTTGGTATCAACTCTCGTATCAGAATCTGCTAAATCAAAGGAGAGGTTGGATATTGCCACTGAGCAAGTCTCTATTCTAATATCTCGCATCAGAGAGCAACCTGTATCATCGCAAGGGTTGCGAGATATTTCTCCTATTCTTGGGAATCTTTGACTTCTGATACCCTAAACGGTTAGTGCAATCTACATTCTGAACCCTCCTTGAAAAGGGAAGGAAAATTATGGAAATATGATAGAAGGAAAGTCGGGTCATGGGTGGATTTTTGAAATACATCACGACAAAGTTACAGTGGTTCAGGCTGCCTTCCAAGCTGATTTTTGTAGTTCTCAAGCAATCAAAATATAGAAATTTCAAATTTCAAATTCCAGGCAGTGTTTTAATCACCTGCTTTTAGGCATGTACAAGTATATATATAGAAAATAACTTGTGCTATATGGCTTTGATCTAATTCTCTTTGGAAAATGATTAGTATGCTCATTTTGCTTTTCCTTTGGCTCATGGAATGTGAACTATTTACCTTTGCTGTATTAGGGTTTTGTAAATGGAATGCAAAAGAAATGTACCCCTATACACAATACAGTTTGCTCCGATTTTCACGAGGTGTGTTGGTTATGAGATGGAAAGAAAGGACTCCTTTCCTTAGTTAACGATTTTTCATTGTCACTAATTTGTTGTATTTTGCCTGCCGATCGATTTGTGTGCCATTTTGTCTCTGATATTTGTTTGATGGATGCAAACGATTTTCAATGAGGCATGAATTCCGCTTTCTGCGTCTGGTTGAATACTCCTATTAAGACTTCAGGAGAGAATTAGTACAAACATCTCTCCAACAAGATATCTCTGAAATAGGGATGATAATTTGTTTTAAAACTCATAAAGCTATGCAGGGGTTCTCCTCGTGGAGATGGAGAATTGGAAAATATTCGTTTTTGTGGAGTAGGAACGGAGGAAATTTCTTATGAAATTTCCACGAGATTTTCTTCACCTCATGGGTTCTTGTGGGAATCCATATAAAAAATATAAATTTATATTTTTATAAAATATAATATATTTATAAAAACTTAAATCCAATTTGTTTCAAATTTCTACTCTCTTTATACAGTTTTTTATGGATTAGTTGGAATGTATGCATTTATTTGTTTTAAATTTCTACTCTTCTTATTTCTTTATGTAGTAATTTTTTTATGGTGTTTATGAAATTTTTTACATATTTTTCATTTTTGTTGTGACTTAACATTCCTCATAGAGATGGGGATGAAAGATATCTTTTACCTTTTATCAAAAATCTCCATAAAGACCCCCATATCCATTATTGAGAGGGATGGGGATGGGGAGAGTCTCCCTGCCCTGCAGAGATTCTTTGTCATCTTTGCTCTGAAAACATAAGATGAGAAGAAGAAGATAATCAAGGTTCCTTATGCATTTGCAATGGGATTGATCATTTATGTTATTGGCGTGGACGAGAGGCCAAGCCCAGTAGGAGCAGCTTAGTTTTTATATTTTAGATTTTCCTTTTTAATTTGGGAATTTCCCTAAACTATTTAAGACCTCTGCAAGGTTATAGCTTGCAGACTTTTGTTTTGAAGATTTATTGAATTTTCTTTTCTAAAGAGTTAGTCTCTTATGGAATTTTCCTTGAACCTAACGTGCTTCCATTCGTTAGTTTGCTTGCTACGTCAATTATGTAGGGGTGGCAATATTTTAGATATCATTGAAATATCTAAATTTTTTACCTAAATTTTTAAATTTTAGTTTAAATAATTTGAATATTTAGATAAAATTGAAGTGACTAAAATTAACTTTGATGAGTTATCAAATTATGTGAAAATTTTTTTAGTATTAACTAAATATACATTTTTTTGGATAGAATTTTTTTGGATCAAATTTATAAACAAAAATTTTTTTTAAAAAATTAAAAATAATCAATATTAAAAAAAACTTTTAACAACCAACCATAAAAAATAACAATATAATTAATAATGATACATAAAAATTTTAATTAATTAACTGAATTATCTAAATAATTTTAAGTGTCTAAAATTATAACAAAAATAAATATTTAGTTTGAGTTTGATATAAAAGTTTCATTCAAAATGTCTTTGGATAACCGAAGTCATCAGAACAAATTTATTGTTATGCTCTCTAACAAGGTTTATGTCTTGTCTCGTATGCTTTGACCGTGATGTATCAATACCGAACAGATCTATTAAGCATTATTAAATTGCCGTAAAGACAATCTTAAGTACTTTAGAATGCCAATCGAGAACGAATACCTTATCCCATTGCCGCGTAAGCGTTCTTTTTAATTCTAAAGTAGGAGAAAAATATAAAAAGGGAATTAAGGTTGGGAGAGAGAAACAAAGTAGAGACATCGATTTTACTGAAATTTTGCTAGAATTAAACAAGCCTGGGTTTTGATTGTCAAAGAGAAAGTGACACATCGAAGACGAAGACTGGAAGAGAGAAAAGATAAAGAGGATAAGAGATTTGTTCTGATTGGATGAGGAAAAGAATTTTCCTTTTATTTAGTTACTAAATAAGTTTAAATAAGTAATAATTTATTGATACATAAATTTCACATATCACATTTAAATAAAATTTTAATAATTTATTTTTTTTAATTTCAATAGATAAGATTTATTCATATTTATTAAAAATATTTATTTTTATTTAAAAAATTATGATAAATTTCAATTATTAAAAATAAAAAAATAAATAATTAAAATTTTATATAAATATAATATATAAACTTTATAGGCAAAAACCAACATTTAACCCCTCATCTTATAAAGTTAATAGATTTTAACTCCTCACCTTACAAAGTTGGTAAGTTTTAACCCCTCATCTTATATTATGACATTTTTAACCCCTCACCTATACGAATTGAAGAAAATAGTTCTCACCTAATATTAGGTTATAACGTTCTATTAGTTCTATTAGTTAACTGTTAATATCTGTTAGCATTCCGTTATAGAAAATATGAAATTTAAATCCAATTTTATTTGTTAATTCCATTAATGAAATGCTAACGGATGCTAATAGTTAATTAACAGAACTAACAGTCAGTTAATAGAATTGATAGTCAACTAACAGAAATAATAGTCAGTTAACAGAACTGATAGTCAGTTAACAGAACTAACAGAACTAACAGAACATTATAACCTGATGTTAAGTGAGGGTTATTTTCTTCAATTCATACATATAAGGGACTAAAAGTGTTATAATATAAGGTAAGGGGCTAAAACCTACCAACTTTATAAGGTGAGGGTTAAAACCTATCAATTTTGTAAGATAAAGGGTTAAAAGTGTCATATTATAAGATTAGGGACTAAAACCTACTAATTTTGTAAAGTAAGGGGCTAAAAGTTGATTTTAGCCAATGTAAATAAATATCTCTTCAAATTAAATTAGTATAATGACAATTAGTATGTAATTAAAGCCACTTGGAATTTTATCCACATCATCACTGCTTACACAGTAGGGTTTCTACGTAATTAGTTTGAAAAAAATAAGTTTGGAGAAATTTTTAGAATTAACCAATCTAGTTATTATAATTTTGGCAGTGGCTCATCACCCAACTTGGTTTGTTTAGAAGAATTGCACTCTTTGACATTCTAACGTGTTCCTTATCTTGCTTTAGATGCACTAGAGTATTTCATTCACCGTGGCCCCACCCGCACTACACACTTAAATTTTGCTTCACTTATGGTATGCTTAGAATTATTGTAAGTTACTGTAATTGTGCCTATAATTGTAGTTGTATTAAATTGTATTATACTATATTTATAACTTAAAGTTATTTTATTATTTGATTATTTATTTTTTTAAAATATTATTTTAAGTTTTTTATAATGGATCTTTTCTTGGATTTCATAGAAAAACAACTCATAATTATGAAATTTTTAATTTTTTATGAAATTTTCAAATAAACTAGAGGTTAAGTTTAAATAAAATATTATAAATTATGATATAATTGAATTAAATAAAATTTGATTTTAATGAATAATTTTGTAATTATATTAAATATTAAGTGTTATCTATAAAAGTCACAACTAAAAAACTCCAAAATGAAATTTCTAACTTTATATATAAAATTACTGTAAATTTGCTATTGCTTTTTGCATGTTTTAGAAAAAACAATCCAAAAAAATTATCAAATATACATTTATCTAAAAATACTATATAACTACCCAAAAAAAAAAAAAAAAAAAAAACTTCTAACCACAACTCCAAACACACCCTTAGTCTCTATTTCATCAATGTTATGCCTCAAGTAATATAGTTGTGTAATTACCGTGATGCTCTACACCACACAAAGTTGTGGTACGTAAGCACCAACAATAATGTTATGAGCATTAAAATTATAAAAATATTAATTTTGTTTAATTTAATTGATAAAAATAATTAATAATTATAATTAGTAACTAATAATTAATAATTAATAGAACATTTAATATTTAATAATTAACAAATTAAAATCAATTAATAAATTGATATTTTTAAACACTATTAAAAAAATTAAAATTTTAGTAATCATAACAATATTAATGATGATAATAATCACATCATTTTTCTAATACAAAATAAAATGTTATTTTTAAAATTTTAATTGTAATTTTATTTTGCATGACCGTAGCTTGGAATTGATGTTTACATCTTTACATTCAACTAGTTTCCCATACTGGGTATTGTGTTTTTATTCATTTATATTCAATAGTGTATAAGGATGATAATTGTATATATAAGTGGAGGAAAAATTAATTTAATGTTTTAAAATAAAAAAGAAAATATATTTTTAACTTAGCATGCTAGAAAAAATGATAGAGTTGTCTATAAAATTATTTAAATACTCTTAATAAATATTTTTATGTATAAGTAGTACTTTTTTTCTTGCAAATTAACCTAAATATCCTCATCCATAAACAAAATTAATATTAGAAAATTTTTATGTAAAAATTAATATATATAGTTATGAACTTTCTATAAATTGTATTTGTTTTAGGATTTAAAGTCCAGAACTCAGCCCTAAATATAATTAAAAATAGTACTCAAATACTTGAGATGGCCTATTTAACTTAAGTTCACTTTTTTCTAATCGGTAAGATGATAAAAACTTCGAAGCTCTTATTCCTTCATACATCTTAAAAAAAAAAAAAAAA